GCTGGGCCAATGTTTTCACAAAAGGAGAGGTGTGGCCTGGGGCAAGAGGATTGGCTGTTGACAGTGGGGACTTGATCTGGGCTCTTTCAGAGGGGAGCAGTGATATTTGCAGACGAGAGCTCTGGTCTAAGCCCAGTCACTGAGCACAGGGGTGACACAGCACTGTGAGTTGACTCCTTGGCACAGTGTCTTAGGGTTTGCAGAGGTGTCTCGGATATTTGGGGTCTCAATAGAAAGCAATGGACTATAGTTCTGTCTATTTTTGTTGTTGTTTAAAGATTTTATTTACTTATTCATGAGAGACCCACAGAGAGAGAGGCAGAGACACAGGCAGAGGGAGAAGCAGGCTCCATGCAGGGAGCCTGACGTGGGACTCGATCCTGGGACCCCGCGGTCACGCCCTGAGCAGAAGGCAGACTCTCAACCCCTGAGCCACCCAGGCGTCCCTGGCTATTTGTTTTTTACATGTTTACAATCTCCCTCCCCCCACCCACCTATTGATACTATAATGGCTTAGTATTAACCCAACTGGACAAACCCTGGCAGGCAAAAAGAACAAGTAAACTTTTCATCCTTTTCCTGGTCATTGTTTGGGGGCTTGATATTTCTTAAATACAAAATGAAAATCTGCATATCGATTTTCCTTTTGTTTCCTGTTTCCACCTACTATGGGTGGTTCTCAACATTTCATGTGCCTAAGAATGATGGCACAGGGTTTGAGGCATAAAACCTGCATGCTATCCTTTATTGACAGTCGAAGAAATGTTCAACGGTCTTTTTTTTTTTTTTTTTAAACTTAGGATTTTTATTTTGCTCTTTAGGAACCAAAGCCCTGCCTACGATGAAGCTCCATTTACATATTTTCATGCATTATTTCTTGTGACTGTCACAACCATCTCATGAAGCAGAAAAGGCAGATATGATCTCCATTTTGAGGCTGGGTAAATGAGACCAAGGGCTTACATACACAGGGAGATAATCTTCTGAAATGTTATCTATTAATCATACGCATACAAAGTCTTCTGTCCTTCTTTGTGTGTGACCCTTCCCGTGACCAAGGAGGCTTCACTTTGCAAAGAGTTGAGTTGTGACTGTTGTGCCAGGAATGTGAGAGAACCAGTCAGTGTCTAGAAGAACTTCGTGTTGCTGGGAGAAGAAATGCTCTTGAGAATCAAAAGGATTCACCCCAGAGGGTGGCAAGATAGAGAGTTTGTCATAATAACCAGTGGGAAAGGGAATAGAAGAAATCTAGACTTTGACTCGTTAGGAGTCTAGGTGAGAGAGTCTTGGCTTCTTGGGTGTCGGAAAGAGTTTGACGGCATTTGGCTTTGCCAAAGATCTGTGGGTCTTTGGGTGTGTGGACCGTACCTGGTGGTATGGAGAGTGCGTGCATGGAAACCCAGCCGATGACTGTAGGTGCCCTGTGGCCCTCCAAGGAAGGCCTGCATTGACCTTAAAAATAAAAGATCAAGTTATTTTACTAACACGATGAGTTTATTAGGGAAGAGCAGAGGAATTGCAATTTGGGACAAGCCAACCGGCGAGTCATGGGCAAGTCCAAGGGGACAAAGGCAAGAGCAGCTTTTGTCAGGCTTCAGGAGGAAATCGGGGAGGGTTGTTTGGAAAAGTCCATTGGAGAAGAACAAGAGTTTGAGGTTGTGGCGGTTTCTCATTGGCTGCAGGCGGTGGTTAGTGCCCTGTCGCTGGGGCAGGAGGAGATCTTCCCTCTTCTTACCAGCAGGAGATAAAATTCCTAAGTGAACCGAGTCCTCCCTCTGCAAGATAAGAATTGCCCTCCCTCTTCCCTCTGGTTCTGCAGGCCGCACCTGGTGGTGCTTGTGTGAGAGCTCCCCCTTCAGGGCTTCCCGGCTCTGTTGTCAACGGGTTTCCTTTTCTCGTTTTCACACCTGAGCTTCAGCTGTGCTAAGGACCCGCCCGGCTCCTCTTGGTGGCGGCCTGCGTGACCCCTCCAACAGACTGGCTGGTGGCTTGTGTTCTCCTACGTTTCTGAATATCCCATCCCAAACGTCTTTTATGGACTCTTCCCTTTCCAGTGGCCGGGTCACTTGGTAGCTGTCCCTGTCATTTATGGAGGGATGTGATATAGAATGAAGGAAACCCTCTCGTGCTAGTATCTCGGTGCAGCTGGATGGAGATGAGAGCCTTCACTTTTGCCAGGGGTGGAGGAAGCAGTTAAACTCGCCTTTCATCTCTGTAGCTCTCCTCTTCTTTCTCTATATCAGCTTTCCTCAATCTGCTGAATATCATCCAAATAATGAAGTGCATGAAGGACTGTGAAGAAGGACTAGGACTCACATGCAGGCCACGGAAGACATTTATATTAATATTTCAGAGACTCAGACTGCCTTAAAAGAATCGTTGATTTCCTTAACATGGTGGCCAACAAAAAGCACAGGGTTCCCTCAGCTCAGAAAAATGCAAATCGTCTCAGCCCCTATGCAAGAGATTTCAAAACACGGAATTGATTCTTCTTCTTCTTTTCGATGTAGTCCATACAACTCACATCTGTCTAAACATACACTATTTTAGCTCATTAATATTTATCCCTCGCCTACAAGCATTTCCATTCTTCAAGGAACGTTTATTGATCTTTGCCGAGACTAAGCACTGAAGGCACAAAGATGAATAATGGATGGTTAAAGAACTCGAGGAGATCAGATTCTAGTAGCATATAAAAGATAAATTACATATACATGGCAGCAAGCATTAAGATAGAGCTATGACAAGGGACTACACTATAGGCATCGGAGAATGGAGCGGCTGCCCCTGCTTGCCATTTGGGATGGCACATGAACAATGAGTGAAAGACTGCAAGGTAGAGAAAGGGGAGACAGGAGAAGGAAATGTTCCGGCAAAGGGAGAGGAAAGATAGAGAGCTGTAGCCTAGGTTGTTGGGCTGTAATGACAGATCAACCCAGGGAGGGAAGATTGACTGAAAGAGATGCTCTTGGGCTCTCAGAACCGAGCTATAAGTGGGCTTCGAGCTGGTGGTGAACCTGGAAGACCCTTATCATGTCACCCCCGCCTACCTGTTACGTCTCCATGGGCCACAGCTCTCCTCCAACGCAGGAACCTCCCGATCCCTTAAGCCTACCATGAGCCTTCTCACCTTGGAGCCTTCGTGCATGCTGCTTTTCTGTCTGAAATATCCTTCTCTCTCACCTGACTCTCTCTTCTGCTCTTTGTCCAAACATCTGTCTTTTGGAAGTCTGCCCCTTCTCATCTCTCGGTTCCGTTTAATTTCCGAAAGATCTTCCTTGCCCCTCTGACCAACCTAAAAGTGTAGGTTTCCTTTTGCTACTCTCTCCCCTTTTAATTTTTCTCGTGACGTTTATCTCAATTTAGAAGTACATACATGATCATTTGTACTGTACAAAATCTATAACTGTTTCTGTTGCCCTGGTTTTTATTCTCCTCTTTGACTTAAGATACGCCGCCACATTCCCAGAATAGTCTCCCTTCTCCACCATGGATTTCAAAATACTGTCATTCCCTCCAGATCCTGATGCCCAGAGGAGAAATCAGGCTGGAGCATGAAATTTAGGACTATCTTTATGAAGATAAAAATTTAAATCCAAGAGAAGTGAAGGGATCACCTAGGAAAATATAAGTGGCAAGAGCTTGAATCATGTAGGCTTCTGAGAGCTTCTGATCTGATTTCCCTGGAATGTTACCTCTGTGTTGTATCAGATTCACTGCTTGGAAGTAAACTTACTAAATTCCATTCTTTGGTTCTAAGGTCTTCTTTTCTTTTCATTCCCTCTGCATTCTCTCCCACATGCTTCAGGGCATGGCGTGTGAGGCTCTAGCTTCCTCCGGGAACACATCCCTCCTGGTCCCAGCCCTCCTGGGCAGCTTTCACTAGGGCTGGTGCTCTCCAGGAAGCCCTGGGCTAGGCCACTGGCAGTGGCAACATCATTATACCACCTGTAGGTCCTTCCTGGAGGGATGCTGGCCGTTGCTAATCTTAGGCATGCCTCCCCTTTTCCCAATTGACCTTGAAGCTCGTGCAAACAGTAACTGCAAGGCAAATTCCTGTTGTGGAACTTCTTGGCATTATCTCCATTTTCCTCACTAGACCTGAACTGGTAGAGTGATACAGCAGAAAGAGCTCTGTATGTAGCAAAGGAAGAACTTAAAAACAATTCCAACTTTGCTGTTTATGAGCTATGTCTTTGAGCAACTAATTTCACCCCTCCGACACTTACTTTTTTTTTCTTTTTTAATATGGAGCTTCCTGTCTCATGAGGTTAACGTGTGAATTAAATATAATGGATTCAAGAATGCTTTGTCAAGTGCTAAGTACATATACAGCTCGATACTCTCCTTTGGCATTCGTGTTATTTATCTTTTTTGCGACTTCGCCTCTTATCTTCATAAACAGATCAACAACTTCATAAGGGCACAGATCTTATCTTGCATTTCTTTGTATAACCTCTCAGTGACTTACACATTATTGTTGCTCAATGTGTAATGGTTGTTCAACAAATGTGTGTTGGTGATCTGCCTGGAACAGGTGATGATGTTTTCTAACAAATACAGCCCCTATATTTTCAAATGTGTCCCAAAGAAAACATTTTACTCTTGTATCTATACACAGTTAGATTTGGAAATTTGAAACAACATCCTAAGGACGAGGCTTTAACTTCAGCCACTTGTGTGACTTGAGATAAGACACAAGGAGAGATGAAAAGCATCCTGACCATGGGGGAAGGATATTTTCGGGAACCCTCTGAAGATTTCTTCTTTATGATTTTGAAGTTGTGAAAAAAATGTAGAATTCCTTCTTTGACAGTCATAGCAAAAGGCATTAGCCCAACACATTTGCATTCCAAGGAAGTTACTCAGGAGTGTCATACCTCCTGCGGCTGCAGCGTTGTACAGATTTTCTAATTGGTGCAATTAGAAACAAAAAAAAAAGGCAGTGTCGAGAGAAACAGAAATAGAAAGCTAGAACTATTGGTGGTTGAGGCAGAAGGCATATATTTTAAAAAATTGGACTTGGAGCTATTCTGACAGATAATAACAGCCTGCAGTAAGTATATTGGTTTAATACAAGGAAGTGATCAATTTAGTGTGAAGGAGCGAAGGACGGAGAAATATGCAGAGAGGGGCAGGCCCTGTGAAAAGGAGAAGATCTCCATGCGATGATACTCTCCTGTCCCAGGTAAGGACCTGACATCGTTGGGCAACAGGTCATTAACCTCAGAACCACATCGCAATGTTCATTGTGGTAATATTCGTATTATTTAGAATTCAAAATAGCAGCCGATCTTGAATGCTGTGTACACCACACCCTGGATAATTTTCATCCAGCTCTCAATCATCGTGCTCTGTCCGCATGATTTCATGTTAAACAATCCATTTGGGGATTGATTCGATGAGGATCCTGGCATGAGAGATCCAACTGATGTTCTAAAGCAACCTCTCACCGAGACACTATTAAGTTATATATTTTTGGCCATTTCAGTTGTGCGTGACTTCTTTAAATTTCTGGGTATGCGGTTTAGTGCCTATTTATATGGCTTTTATATGTCTATGTGTGAATGCATATATATATCTCCTTAGATGACTTTCTGCTAACTCTTGCCTGAGTTAATGGCATTCGTGCATGCAGTGGCTGCTAAGTCATGCCTCTAGGAGATGCCTGGTCTTCCTTAATGGTTCCTTTTTCCTTCTTAATTAACCAGAGAAAATTCAGTGGGGGTGAAGTGATATAAAATTTTTTGCTAACTTTTAAGTTTGCTAGTTTAATCCTGTTTTAGGATTAACATATGTTCCTGGAATTCGAGGGAAAATGAATAGCATTTAGCCTTGTCTTCTTCAGCACCAATGACTTAATAAAATCATTTTTCCCTTGTAAATAGCAGAAACTAATATTTATAACTCAAAGAGCTGACAGAGAATTAACTTTATTTCTAGATTGTTCGTGAGCATAAGCAGCTGTGGTCACTGTCGAAAACAGGTTGGTCAAGGCTTGAAGTGAAATTAATCAAATGAAAAAGTTGTTTTCCACCGTGACTAAGTACATGCTAGTAGGTATCAGTCAAATGATCAGTTTAAGACTTGCAAAATTGAAGTATTTCCTGGTTACCGAGAAATCGTCATAATTCTCTCAGGCCTCTATTTCTTTTTTGATAAAGTCCATCTGTCTGATCCTTGTTTTCTATCTGAAGATTTGTTTTCCCAGCAGGTTCAAAAGTCATTACTTTGCCCTTTTTGAGAAGTGAATTATTTTTTAAATTTATGACAATAAACTACCACATTAACTTCTGCATAATAAAAATACCTAGAATAGTATTTGGGACCATTATTTTGAATATAAATGTTTAATTTAGGGGTTGTAATTGTTAAAGCAGAAATATGGAGGTAAACTTGTTCTGGATTTGGCTATATTTCTGACACCCTGAGCGTGAGGAGACTCCTTAACCATGTTTTCCAGCCGAAAATAAAACAACAACAAAAAAATTTAATAACAAAAGTGTTATAGTACCAGTTGCTTCACTTACTTGGTGTTAATTGGTTTGATTAATTAATTTTACTTCACCAACTTTTTAATTCTGCTGACACAATATACAGTTTGTATTGACATAATATAGCAACAGTCTGTTTATCCTAATTCAAGCATGCACATATGCCATTTTGTCTATTTTTAATGGCCAAATAGTACGATTTATAAAATTTTAATTTTCTACTTAATACTGTCTCTGCTGAAGCTTGTGGAATCATTTGGGGACAGTTATTCTTGTTAGCTCCAAACTCATTTGAATCGAGCGACATAAATCAGTGCTCAAATTATTTCTTCTGCTTTCTAAAGTTGGCAGAGACAGTTTCTCAATCCCTGAAAGTTTCACAGGGACCTTTTCCTGCATTGAAGGAGTCTCTGATCCTGAGATTTCCTTGCCCCAAAGCCTTTAAAGGTTTCTGGTTGCCATGGAAACAAGACATACATTTCTCAGTCAGGCCTGCATGACCACGTTGGAGAGGAACACCTCATAGAAAGTTTGCTGCCTTGTTTCCCTAACCTGTCCATGCTCCAGGCCGATTCTACTTTTTCCAGACTCGTTTCCTCTCCTCCTTAATCCAATCTCTTTGACTAGTTTGACCTAAGCTTCCAGCTCACTTCAAATTCAAGATCTTGTAAGTTTTTTTCTGATCCCCACAGTGAGATATAATTATATTTATCTTTGAACTTCAATAATGTGTTGATTATACTTTTGGGCATCCTTATTTTGCCTCAATTAATGATTATTTATGTACAAACCTTTTAGCATCTTAATGACAGGAATGTGTCTTTCTTACCTTGGTATTCCTCTTGTACCTAATAAATGGAGAGATCCTAGACTCTGAATGCCAGGACATGTGACAGTCAGTTTCAACTTTGTAACCATGCTATAAATAGATATTGTGGGCGTAGTGGTCGGGGTGGTTGTTTTTGCTTTGAGTAGTTGTGGAGGCCCCAACAAAAGATACGAGCTTTGAGCAGGGACATGACAAAGAAACATATGTTTTGCCACTAGGAGCAAAGAAGTCGATTTTATTCCTACTAGGGATGAAAACACAGATGAAGGTATAGGTGATGTTATGGATGGACAGGGGGCATCATTTTAGTTGGAAGCTAGAGTTTGTGAGAAAGATGTGAGAACTATGGGAGGTGAGGTTGAGGTCAGCTGTGAAAGACTGTATAAGGTATGTCGCGTTTGGAATTCATCCTTTAGGCAACAGGAAGGAGATGGAGTTTTTAAAACTGCGTATGTATGGAAGCAGCTTAAGTATCTCTTAATAGACGAGTAGATAAAGAAGACATGGTACAAGAGAGCAAACGGATGGTTGCCAGAGCGGAGGAGAGTGGGGCGGTGGGCAAAATGGGTGGAGGGGAGTGGGAGATGCTGAATCAGTCATGGAGATAAAAGGTAGAGCACAGGGAATAGAGTCAATGGACTTGTACGAGTGTTGTGTGGTGACAGAGGGTGGCTCCATTTGTGGTGAGCACAGCATCAAACATAGACGTGCCAAGTCACTATGTTGTCCACCTGAAGCTCAGGTAACATTGTGTATCAACCCAACTTCAGTATAAAAAGGGGAAAAAAGAAAACAAAAAAGTGAAAACAGAACAGGAAGAAAAAGAGGTGACAATGGGATATTAATCAACCATAAGAGGAATGAAATCTTGCCATTTGTGACAACATAGATAAACCTAGGGGATATTACGCTAAGTGAAATGAATCAGACAGAGAAAGACAAGTATCACATGATTTCACTTATACGTGGAAACTAAAAGAGCAAAACAAACCAAACCAACACCAAAAAGAGAAACAGACCCATAAATATAAAGAACAAACTAGTTCTTGCAACTGTATTACTAGGTGCAAGAGGGGAGGTGAGTGGGGGACAGCCAAAGGGGTGAAGAGGATTAAGGTGTACAAAGTTATAAGATAAATAAGTCACGGGGATAAAAAGTACAGGATAAGGAATACAGTCAAAAATACTGTACTAACTTTCTGGTGCCAGATGAGAAGTAAACTTAGTATGGTGAGTATGTTATAATGTATGCAAGTGTCAAATCACGATGTTGTGCCCTTGAAACTAATTTATATTACATTCAACTATACTTCAATTAAAAAAAAAAAACGTGAAAAAGGGTATGTGATGGCGTCGGATATTTTTTTGGTGAGATGTTTCCGACACAGGGAAGCCAGTGTCAAGGGGGGAGGCTCCCCAGTCAGAATCTATAGTTGCCAATTCGCATCCAATCTACCTACCCCGGTAACGTGAAGTGCGCAGCAGCCAATGCGATTAGTACCTGCAGTCACCGGGAGGGCCACAGCCACGGACCACCTGATTGTAGAAGACTCCCTAGAAGGGCAGAGCACACTATCGGAGTGGAGCGTGCATCGTTTGAAACTTTACATTTAATATATTACTTATATTTCTAAAATGAAGAAATACCTACATTTGCACATAATTCTGTATTTGAAAAAGGATATGAGATTTGAATTGCTCATAAAAGGGGTGGAAGGGAGTGTGCCTCCTGAAAGTCTGAGGAGGAAGCTGGCTTTAGATCACTTTCAGAGCTCCCAGGCTGAAAGCCAAAGCAAGGTCTCTTGTTCTCAGACAACTTCCTCATCTGCGTCGGGCTAGTTCAGTGTGCTGTTTATCTAGATAATGTGAGTTTTCGGTCACATCCTGACTCTGCTGCCTTAATCTGCCATCAGCCTCTGATATCACTTCTCCTTTCCTCTGTCACCATTCATCATCGCTTGGCTTTCTAGTTCCTAAAATGTATGGGTCACATACATTTCCAGTGGAGTAGAGCGGTCTCCTCCCCCAGAAAGAGTCATAACGTTATTCATCCTTTACGATTTATAATTTCTTTTAGCCAAGGATGCTCCTAAGAATCGCTTGACAGGTCAGTTATCGGAACGATTTTTTAACCCAGTAAAAATGAGTTGAAATGACTATTGCCACGGGGGAGACAGAAGGTGCTAGAACACAGAGCAGGGCGGTATCTTACCCAGTGTGAACCAGAGTTGGCAGCGATGGGTCCTGGGACAGTAGAAGGCCCTGGTTGGAGCTCCCAGTCCTTCATCGCACCAACTACTAGCTGAATGGCCTTTAAATTCCTCTCCTTATAAGTTAAATTCCTGGAATTCCGGACTACCTATAAAATGGGTCAGTTCATGTTAATAGTAAGGAGTATTGCTCCAGGTTATAACGAGGGCTTCGTGCATGTCTTTCATGTAGCCGTTAGGAAGCCCAGCTGGAGTCTGATTAACGGGGGGAGGAAAGGATCCAATCCACCGCGGGCTCACCTGGAAAGAGGTGCCATTTTGTTACTTTCTCCTTGGCACATTTTTATTTATAGCCATACCTTCCAGTGAAAGTTTGTCCTGTCTGAACATCTACATCACTGCCAAGCAAAGGAGGCTCAGATACAGCTCCAAGCCTTTAGTTTCTATTTTTACAACAAAATCTGCCCATAGCTGCCTGTTTACATTACTCTCATCCTATCTGGGCTTGACAAATGTTGTAAATTAGGATTAAAAAAAGAGAGATAAGGGGTAGGGATGGGAAGAGTGAAGTATGTCTGTGAATTCTGGGCCTCTGAAGAATTTCTGAGGGTGTGTGTTTTCAAAGACCAGAGGAATTTTCAGAACTCCAGGCCAG